GGGCTGTGTGTTCTGGGTCAGTGGGGTGCATTGGGCAGGGCAGGGCAGGGCAGGGTGTCTGTGGTCAGTGGGATGTGCAGGGGCCGGGGTGAGCTGAATGCAGGGGGGCCTGGGGGAGCTGCTGCTCCCACCCCCTGCCCTGCCTGGCACAGGGCACTGGGCTTGGCCTGGGATGAGCTTTAATGCCCTCCTGTCATTTTCCTTCTTAGGACAGAAAAAGAGAGCCAAAAGAGCCACCACTGGAGCCACAGTCAGAGCAGGTGAGTGAGGATCTTGCAGTGGCTGAGCAGTGCTCGGGTTCACTGCCCAGTCCCAGCCCCGTCTGGGTGTGGGGACTGGGCTGGGCTGGGGCTGTGAGTGCTGGGGCCAGGGAGACTCAGAATGTTGGTGTGAGGGAGGGGCAGCACTGGCCTGGAACTGCAGGTTTCTCTCTTAGTGCCAAAATTGGGCTGACAGCTACCCTGGTGTCACTTGGTGCAGCAAACGGTGCCAACATGTCCAAGAGGAAGCCAATTCCACATGAGGAACCCGAGGAGACAACTCCAGATGAGGAATCTGAGGAGGAAAACCAGAGTACAGATGGGAAACCCAAGAAGACTAGACCACATGGCAAACCTGGGAATAATAATAGTCCTGGTGGCAATAATCCAGGTGGAAAAAGTGTGGATAAGAATATTCCAGGTAACAAACCGAAGAGAATCCAGGCAGGTACCTGATCCCAAGGTCTCTCCCAGGCAGCCTGGCAGGTGCTGGGAAGTCCCCACAGATCCCCAGTGACTCAGCTGCCCTCTTGAGACCTGGGGATGTGCTGGAGCACAGCGAGGGGCTGGCAAGGTGGTGGCTGAGCTTGTTCTAAACTGTGTTGGATTCCCTTTGTGCTGGTGACAGGTGACACACGGGGCTGACACGGGCTGTGTGTTCTGGGTTGGTGGGGTGCGTTGGGCAGGGCAGGGCAGGGCAGGGCAGGGCAGGGTGTCCGTGGTCAGTGGGATGTGCAGGGGCTGGGGTGAGCTGAATGCAGGGGGGCCTGGGAGAGCTGCTGCTCCCACCCCCTGCCCTGCCTGGCACAGGGCACTGGGCTTGGCCTGCGATGAGCTTTGCTGCCCTCCTGTCATTTTCCTTCTTAGGACAGAAAAAGAGAGCTAAAAGAGCCACCACTGGAGCCACAGTCAGAGCAGGTGAGGGTCTGGCACTCGGGTTCACTGCCTGCACCCAGCCCTGGCTGCTTCTGGGGGACCGGGCTGGGCTGGGGGCTGTGAGTGCTGGGGCCAGGGAGACTCAGAATGTTGGTGTGAGGGAGGGGCAGCACTGGCCTGGAACTGCAGGTTTCTCTCTTAATGCCAAAATCGGGCTGACAGCTACCCTGGTGTCACTCGGTGCAGCAAACGGTGCCAAGATGTCCAAGAGGAAGCCAACTCCAGATGAGGAACCCAAGAAGGAGACAACTCCAGATGAGGAACTCGAGGAGGAGACAATTTCAGATGAGGAATCTGAGGAGAACAAGAGTACAGATGGGGAACCCAAGAAGACTAGACCACGTGGCAAACCTGGGAATAACAATAATCCTGGTGGCAATAATCCAAGTGGAAAAGGTGAGGATAAGAATATTCCAGGTAACAAACCCAAGAGAATCCAGACAGGTACCTGATCCCAAGGTCTCTCCCAGGCAGCCTGGCAGGTGCTGGGAAGCCCCCACAGATCCCCATTTAAGACCTGGGGATGTGCTGGAGCACAGCGAGGGGCTGGCAAGGTGGTGGCTGAGTTTGTTCTAAAGTGTGTTTGATTCCCCTTGTGCTGGTGACAGGTGACACACGGGGCTGACACGGGCTGTGTGTTCTGGGTCGGTGGGGTGCATTGGGCAGGGCAGGGCAGTGGGATGTGCAGGGGCCGGGGTGAGCTGAATGCAGGGGGGCCTGGGGGAGCTGCTGCTGCTGCTGCTCCCACCCCCTGCCCTGCCTGGCACAGGGCACTGGGCTCAGTCTGGGACGAGCTTTAATGCCCTCCTGTCATTTTCCTTCTTAGGATTGAAAAAGAGAACCAGAAAAGCCACCACTGGAGCCACAGGCAGAGCAGCTAAAGGTCTGGCCCTGGCTGAGCAGTGCTCGGGTTCACTGCCCAGTCCCAGCCCTGTCTGGGTGTGGGGACTGGGCTGGGCTGGGGCTGGGAGTGCTGGGGAGAATTGGGGTGCTGCTGTGGAGGAGGGGGCAGCACTGGGCTGGAATCACTGCTGCAGCCCTGCACACTGTTCCTGTCCTCCCCAGGGTGGGCTGTCCCTGCACCCCACAGCCCTCGCTCCCCGCCCTGACCCCTGGGTCCTTTTGGGGAGGCCGGTTCTGGGGCACTGGTGGCAGGGGGAGGTGTGGGGTGACAGAGAACACCTTTATGCTATTGTGTCCTCCCTGCAGGAGTGGTAGTGGTTGCCACCCCGGGTTGCATCTCCTCATGGTCAGGGGGGTAGCAGGGCTGGTTCCATCAGTGGTCATTTTCTGGGGGTCTGCGGGTCCAGGGCAAAGCTGAAGGAGGGGAATGTGTCTGGAAGAGCTGCTGCTGGCACTGTGCCCTTGTCCTGCCTGGCAAAGGGCACTGGGCTGCACCTGGGCAAATTTTCCTGCCTGCCCTCCTGCTGTTTCACTGTTCCCTGTGAGACACAGAGGACACGGAGCCCCGATCGGAGCAGGTGAGGGTCTGGCACTCGGGTTCACTGCCTGCACCCAGCCCTGGCTGCTTCTGGGGGACCTGGCTGGGCTGGGGGCTGTGAGTGCTGGGGCCAGGGAGACTCAGAATGTTGATGTGAGGGAGGGGCAGCACTGGCCTGGAACAACAGGTTTCTCTCTTAATGCCAAAATCGGGCTGACAGCTACCCTGGTGTCACTCGGTGCAGCAAACAGTGCCAAGATGTCCAAGAGGAAGCCAACTCCAGATGAGGAACTCAAGGAGGAGACAACTCCAGATGAGGAATCTGAGGATGAGACAACTCCAGATGAGGAATGTGAGGAGGAGAACAAGAGTACAGATGAAGAACCCAAAAAGACTAGTCCACATGGCAAACCTGGGAATAACAATAATACTGGTGGCAATAATCCAGGTGGAAACGATGAGGATAACAATAGCCCACGTAAGAAACCCAAGAGAATGCAGGCAGGTGCCTGATCCCAAGGTCTCTCCCAGGCAGCCTGGCA